CGTTCTTTGATTAATCTTCTGGATTTGAACATTCTTGTTTCTGCATCTTTGCATCCAATTACTAGCCACTTCTTGCTCTATCTCAAGTTTGGTGTTGAAATTCTTTCTTTCCAGCTCCCATTTTTCTTTTTCAACATTGAATTCTTCAATCTTTTGGCCCCTGACTTCAAGTTCAGCAATCAGCTGGTTCATTTCAGATTCAAATCCCTGGAACATGATATTTTTCTCACCTTCAAATTTATCAAAGATGTCATTCTTCATTTCTTCTAAATCTTTGGCTCGATCCCTTTCTCTTTGCATTTCATTCATGATCTCGTGGTGTTCAGCCTTGTGTTTTATAATTCGCTCTCTTCTGTCGACCTCAAAATCTTCCATTTTTTGCTTTCCTTTCTCAAGGCTTTTGAGTAGACGGCTATTCTTTCCTTTCAGATCTTCAACTCGACTTTTCTCGATGTTCAATTCTCTGGTCATCTGTACCGTTGATTGGCTTGGTCCTGATGCTTTCCGGGATTTATATAACTCTTGGTAATTTTTCTTTAATGCTCTAAATTCACCATCAACTTTTTTTTTGTTTTCTCTCAACATTGCACATTGTGATGAATGAAAGTCAATATCAACACCCAACATAGCTTTATCTCGTCTCATTTGCTCTAATTCTCTTGACCATCCTTCTTTTTCTGCTTCAAACTCAGCTCTCAGGATTTCAATCTCTGATGGAACCACCTTAATGCGATCTTCCATAGAGATATCCTCATTTTGATCTGGTAGAGGAATATTTTCATTTTTCCTGACATATCTCCATTCTTCATAATCAGGAGTTAGCATTTCTTTTGCTGCTTTAGCTCGGATACAAAAAGTTGTTTTCCAAGCTGTAACGGCCTCCATGATATTTCTTTTATAATTTCTGCTGTGGAATGCGAACTCAGATGAATGTAATCCAGCGGTGACAGGTACAAATTGACGACCTTCATACTGCCTTATGACCAGAAGTGGTGCGTATCCAATTCCTCCCCATAATCCGAGTAGCATTATCCAATTGTAATCTCCACATTTGTAAAAGAATTCCCTTTGGATTTTCCACGGGGCTCGCCAAACAATGTCATTGCTTTGCAGATTTCGAAAGACATTAATCCACATATCTTTCTTAATTTCTTTCGGCCATTCCTGCTCCAGAAATTCTTTTAATGGTGAGTAATCCGTATTAAAGCGTCGGTATGAAATCTTTTCTGTCCTCCAGAAATGACTACGGACCAAAACATATAACAACTGGGTACACCCTGAGAATCGTCCACCTCCTAGCTTTCTACAAGCATTTAACGACCTGAAGGTCTCTGCTAGAATTGCAGAAGCAGGATTAATCTTTTTCGGTACCTGTTCAAACAAATCTACCACTGCAGCTTCAACATATCCCAATTCTTTTGGGAAGATGACCATACCATACATACCCAGAGCAAATAAATCGAATCGTACTTTAATATCTGGATGGCTCTGAATAAGTTCTTTAATGTTGGTCCAAGCAATGCCTTCGCTTTCGCCTTTTTGTTTTGTACGGGATGCTACCCATTCTTCTCGTACCCCGACAATCTTTGCTAATTTAACTCGAAAGGGTTGAGTTTTAATTGACTTTGAATAGATTCGATTCTCCAAAGCCCCTTCGATATGTAGCAAAGTTGTGTACTCTTCAATAGTAGGGACCAAGTCCTCTTTATTGAGAGTGAAGCAATTGTACCCTGGATTCCAGAATTGAATTAGGGCTCTGAGTAATTCATCATCAACTTCGACATAGAGCAAATATGGGATGTCTCCGTAAGTCTGATAAAACTGCAATTTTTTGTTTGAATCCCAACTTTCCCAAATACTTCGCAAATCTTGCATATCATTTCTTTTTAACGAAACTGGAGCATAACTGGCCAAGTCAGATACATAATCATCATGCAGACTGTCTCCTTCTTGTCTTTGTAAGTCCTCAGCCCACTGTCTTACTTCTGAGTTTAGAATTACTTGATTTGAACACTTTTTATCCATGGATGAAGGCTTTCCAATGAGACAATTAACACGAGGATCAATTCCTTTTATCCTGTATGATGCTATGCAAACAAAAGATAAAGAACACACAAAAGAAATGAATTAGTTTACATAATAAAGAAATTTAATAATAACATTTACCTAAATATTTTTATTTAAACATGCTTTTTCTAAATTTAAATAATTTAAATATACATGTAATTTAATCAGTAAAGAAAATAAATAAATTAACAGGAAAGTTAGAATTCATTTCTCCTGTGTGTACACCTATTTTGGACAAAATTTCGGCATGACTTTAGATCGGAGGAGTTTCTAGGGTTATTTATATGCAAGGTTTCAGATCTAAGAATAAAGGTACCCGAATTGTCTTTGTCAGTGCCCCCTTGGGTTACTAACCCTCAATCCTAGTCCATCACAGACTAAAATGGATCGAGTTTAATTCGAGAGGATACATTTCTCTATGTCTGACACGGAGAATAAATTCTCACGAAGACATAGAGCATATGAACCCCGAAAGTTACTTGCTAGGTCTGACACGGAGAATAAATTCTCACGAAGACGTCGCTTTCACTCCCACTTAAAAGGGACAAACTCAATTATAGAGCTTATGTTATGCAATGTAAGTACTATGTGTGGGGAGAAATGTTCAAACCTTTGACAGAAAAATAAATAATGAAATAACATACTTGTAAATAAAATGAAATATTAATAATATATATAAATACTATAAAAATAATATGTATATATAAAAAAAAACAATTATAAATTAAATATATGAAATTTTAATTTATAATTAATAGAGACAATTTATAATTGATTTTTAAAAGTTTGACTTATCCCCAGCAGAGTCGCCAAGCTGTCGTAACCGGTTTTCGCCCGGGCACGAATTTTTTACTTGACGAGAAAATTGATTTGAATAAATGGTTTTTGAAAATAATTTGAGAGTCGCCATCGGCCTTTTGGGTCAGGTAGGTCGAATACCTAATTATTTTTTTAAAAGAGTTTTAAGAAAACATCAATTAAAAAATGAACTGATCTGCATTTATAACCAAAAATTCGTTCTTTTTAATAATAAAAAGGGATTCGTGGTCGGTTACATTTAGGGAAGGATTAGCACCCCTACAACGCCCAAAATTGGTACTTTTTAATTATAAATTGTCTCTATTAACAAATTTCAAAATATATTTAATTTATAATCTTATTATTTCGAAATTATATAAAAAATATTTATTTATTTAAAAATATCGGAAAATGACTTCTAGGTGCCTTAAGACAGTTCTTTTATTTGATATTAATAAATATTAATTTACATAAAATTAAATAATATATTTTTTAATTTTAAAATACCAGAATAGGACATCCAGTTGTATTAAGACTGCCCTTTTCTTCGATATTGAAAAATAAATGTTAAAATAATTTTTTTTTAAATAAATATTTATTTATTATATATATATTTATTATGACTACATAATAAAAATATTTTAATATATAAACAAGTAAAATTAAAATAATAAAATTACAATTAAAACTATATATTTAAAAGTAATAAAATAAATAAATATATTTAAAATTATTGACTGAATTATAGTAAATTAAAATTAAAAACCTAATTCATATTAATCAAAATTATAGGGATTAAACATGCTATTTTCTTATTTATTAATTTATTGACTAAAATAAACTTATCTAAAATTCAAAATATCAGATTAAAATAAATTAAAAATATAAACTCGGGTTTAAAATATTACTTATTAAAATTAAGGGATTAAATCTGTTATTTATCCTAAATATATTATTTTAATACAAAGGACTAAAATAAATAAAATTAAAATTAAAGAACCGAATTAAAAGGATTATAAATTGATTTAGTGACTAAAATGTAAAGTTTACAAATTAGGCTGACTGCGGAAAGGATTTAACTATTGTTTAATTACACGAATAGCCCTTCCCGAAACGGCGTCGTTTGGGAAGGGCTATTTAAGCCCCTAACCGGCTGGCCCTTCGGGCCAGCTATCCCATTTTCCTTTTTTTTTTCTCTCAAACAGAGAGAGAGCCAGAGTTCTCTCTGGCCTCTCTCTATCTTCCCTCACCAGAGGGAATCCGGCAGCCGTCTGCCGCCGCAAATTCTACCGCCGACCACCGCCTCCGGTGGTCGGAAATTCCCCAAATTCACCTAAAATATAGATCTAAACACCCTAAGACCGAATCCGACCTTTGTTTCCCCAAAAAGACTCCTAATCGGAGTAAATCTATGAAAATACCTTCGGTATTTTCTGTTCTCCGGCGATGTTTAGTGCTTCCGGCGATGGTCAAGGCTTCTTTGGTAGGCTTCTTTCCTTTCTTTTCTTTTATTTTTGGTTGCTGTGTTGTGGATTTCATTTTTTTTTCTTTGTTTTTGCTGGTTTCCCTCTGTTGTTCCCTCTCTTTGTTCGCAGATGGGGTGATGGCTTTATAGCCATCACCGGCGCTCGTCTCGGACCGGTCCGAAGGGTGGAGTTCGGTGAGTCACCGGACTCCCAGTGGTGACTCACCGTTGGGATGACAGGTGTGCGACCGGAGTGGCGGCGAGGCTGAAGCAACGCCGCGTGGTCTTCTGGAATCTACGGCGGCGCTGGGACGTGTCCCTAGGGTATTGATACCCTAGGGTTTCCTCTGGCAAACTGTGGACTGTTGGATCAAACCAGATCCAACGGCTGAAATTGAGCGGCGGCAGATGGATAGAAAACCCTAATTGGGTTTTAGGGTTTCTGATTTGGGCCAGTTGGGTCCTTTGTAATTGGGCCGGTCCAATCTGGGCCTGTTTGTAATATTAATAAATAATATTTATTAATAATAATAATAATAATTATAATAATAATAATTATAATAATACTAATAATAATAATAAAATGAGTAAAAAAAATTTTTAGTATCTTCAGGATGATCATCAGACGTATCAAAGTTCCTCGACCACAGTTGAACAGTGTGATAGCTACCGTACACCATCCAGGACCTCCAGACACACACTGAAATAGTCATTCTCTAAAACAAATCGAACGATGAAATAGTAATTATCCAGATCCACTAACTGTATCTCCCCCGCGGTTCTCCATAGAATTTGGATACGGTTCAGTAACGCGTTATAACAAATCTTCTTCCCCAGCAAGCGTACAATGATCGACTTGGAGAGTTTTTCATCAATTGAATCGTGAACCCTCTCCGAAAAACATATACTCGGTATGGTTCCTTTCATTCCAATTTTAACATCTCCCTCACGTAAATCAACATCCAAATCGGCAATGAAGTTATCTCTTTTTCGATTTTCTGTGCTTCCAGCCACCATATCCCTAAAGGATGGCTTAACAACACTTTCAACATTCTTTACTAAATGCTTCTACTCATGATTTTCCTTTGTTTGCGACACTGCTTCCTGCCCATCAATCTCCATTCCATTCTCGATCTGATCCAAGACACGAAACGCGCTTGCATCATTCCTGGGTCTTTTCCCCCACTGGTAAATCAACAACCGGGATCCCATGTCCCGGCCTTTCCAGACTCGTGGTCGACACATCCTAAACTAGTTTATCCGGCGGCCAGCCGTTGGGTCAACTGCGGAGATGGCAGAAGGGTTTCCAATATTTTCGGCGGCCAGCCAGTTGGGTCGACACAATCCGACTTTCTTTTATAAAATTGGACCATAAAAATATGGTTAGCGGAACAACGAATTCTGCAATTCAGTCATGTATGGTTCGTAGCCCACTTTTTTCAAAGAATAACTACATTTGTTGCTAAACAACGATTAAATTGCATTTTCAACAAGCTACAATAGTTCTTACATTAAATAAAAAGAAACAAAACTAACCTGCATACATTAATCTACGGATGTTTTAGAGCCCAATGGCCACCCTCTGAGCGAAACCCGGTCGTGTTCTAGTGGGCATTCGAAGAAGCCCTGTTATTTGGAGCTCCGTTACATCCCAGCAAAACCGTGCTCTACATCAAGAATTGTCAAGGATGACAGATTACAGACGGTAAACAGAAGAATTTAGTGGCGGAGTGGCAATGCTAGGTGAAGGCAGGCTATAACTTGTTGGAAAAGGTATCCGCCCAAAATAGTTTGGTGAAGGCACCCTGTACCTTGTTGGATAAGGTATGTGCCTAAAATAGTTATTCAAATTCTTTTTTCATACAGAGGATCCATACCAAAAGGATGACATCATGAGAAACCAAAGATGATGAAGTGCATTAACTACAAAAGATGGAAATGGAATGCATTTACCAGACCTGATATAATATAGCATGTCTATGACTATGAGATCCTCATGGACCGTGAAGCTAAGTGATCATGATACAACATAAATCGCTTCTCCAATCAATGATGCACTCCCTAAATACATCAATGCAAAGCAAAGAAAATATACTGCACCAACTTACTGAAAATAAATGCAGAAAACTGGTAAAGAAAAGGGTATTGTATGGAAGCTTCGCTCTGGTTTTCTGATTCTTTTATGCCTTTCTTTTCTTTGGTAACGGGGATTGCCTTGATTTCTTTCTACTGTTACTTGGGCTGAAGGCTATTGATTTGAATGATTGGTACCAGTCGTGGAGATTAAAAAGATCGCCATGCTCTTGAGCAAGTTTATATTTAAAACCACACAACAGCAGTACACATGTTTCAACAATGACACCCTATGAACAAGCAGAGAACTGAATATTTTTTATGAACACCGATGAGAATTTAAAATCTATCCTTATTTGGGAGACCAAAGAAAAATTCCTTAAATGAAAATTGCTCAAAATTACAAACTGTTTCTGTTTCATGAGTAATAACAAATAGGTTATCAAATTCACGACAGCCAGGAACGTGTTAAACAACATTCTTTGCAGATCTAGAAAGTTTGCTTCACATATTCAAATGCAAATCAAACCTCATGCTCACCAGTCGAAGCTTGTTAACATCTTTAAAACAGAAAATTTCATGAAAAGGTATGCACTCAATCGGACACATATAATCCTTGTTTCACACAAAATTACAAGTTGGTAATTTAGAAACAGTTTAATAACAAGAGACTGCAATGGTTTTCGATGCACTATGCCATCTAGCCAAGGATATAACCAGTTTTATAAAAAATGAAAAGAAGTAGCCAGTACCCTGAAACAGAAAGTGCATACAATAAGAAAGAAATGTATAAAATTTCTATAATAAATAATAATGCAAATACTAGTAAGGTGGCCGCGGCCAATTGCTTATCAAATAACATGCACACTTTTCATCCGTAGGTAAAATGTATAGATAGCAGTATCAATTCCATCAAGTATAACCAGCGGCGGATGTACGTAGAACCCACGTGCCCACCTTGAAATCCGAATTTATTTATGTTAGTTGTTTATTTTACTAAATGTGTGCACCTGATATTTTATTTGTATCTATCCATACGATCTTTTTTTTTTGTTATTAATACAAATATGTCTACCCTGAAAAATATTTCTGGATCCGCCATTCACTCTATCAGTTTAGCAACTTTATCACTTAATGATTTCGAGTCCTTCACAATATTCAATTGGATTCGAGATGCATGTCTCCTGTAAAAGCAGTGAAAGTAAAACAGTAAGCCTGTATCAGTAGATATTAAAAGTGATAAAAGTTTAGAAAGGTAGTCCAAACCAAAATGTGCTCTAGAAAATAGTTTACCATATGATGCATCGTAAATTCTTTCTGAAAATTGAAAGATATCAAAACTAGACTCAAGGCGGCATATATTCATAAGACAGTCAGAAGAAATTTTAATCCCAAGCTTATCATATGAATGTATTATTATTTTCTGAAGCAGATGAAAAGGTAACAGTAATTACTTGGGTGTTACAGTCATATCTTTCTTTGAGCTCTTTCATCGTCTACTTTTAGTAAAAACAATGGAGTTTATGGCAAACACCTTTTTGAAGAGTTTTTAATTTATTTGAGCATAAATAGTTGATCAATAGTAAAACCCTCCATTTTTACTATTTGGTAAACACCTTTTTAAAAGAGTTTATTGTGTAAAATAGTTGAAAATGAAACCTAGAAAATCCAACGATTTGGAAGAGTTGATTGCAAAATAAGATGTTAAATAATATATTTGACATTATTTTCCATAATTACATAATTACCATAAAACCTAATGTGTGTCACTCATCCATGTACCTACATGTGCAAAGAAAACAATGTAAATGGATGCAAATGAGGTGGAATGAATGAAATATCTTTTTGTCATGCATGTTTATGGCCTTTTCAGCCATGAATGCATGTCATGAGCTAAGAACTATATGATATAACATATGTGAACTAATGTATATGACTTAGGAGCTGATTTGAAGGAAAATGAGCTAAGAAATGAATGAATAAACATGCTTTCATTTCATCAATGAATTGAAACCTATCTGTAGCACCCCAACCCGTATCCGACCCGAATACGAATTCGAGATGTCAGCTTGACTTTTTGAAACCATATTCTTGTAAGATAACAAAACATTCGAACTTATATTGAGGAAATATGATAATATATTATTGAATTATGTCTGTTATAAAATTTTGAGGCAAAAACGTATTTATGAATAGTACTATACCATATGAACAGTACCGTGAACAATACCGTGAACAATAATGAATAGTACCGAATGTTAAAAAAATTTCAGATTGTTTCAGGAGTATCGATACCCCTGCTACAGGTACCAATACCTTGCTACAATACTGCTACAGTAACTTTCGGCAAAATACATAAATTTATAAAAATCTAAGTTTTCATTTACATTTACACATTTAAAACATTACAAAACTCAATCATATGATTTTACAAACCAATAAAAGCATATCGAATTCAAATCTTTATTACATGCCAACCACTATCATTATTACAAAATACATGCTATTTAATTCTTTTCTGATCCGATCTTTGGAAAGGAGGAACTGAACTGTCTTGCATAACTTTTATCAATCTTCCTCTTCTCGAAACCTACGTGTGAAACAATCACACGCTAAGTCATAGACTTAGTGAGGCATATAAAACATAATTATATGCTAACTGTAACTTCTACAATGCATGAACATTTGATACTACCTTATCATACCAAAGCATATATTCTTCTCTGTAACATATACATACAAGCATATATCATGTAACATAACATTATTAACATGCTTATCATTTCTCATTTTATCATCATTAATTTCTTTTTATACCATATCAACATATAATATAAACTCTAAATCACACTAAGGCATAAACAGTTTCCAATCTCATATACAAATACATTTCACTTAGAATACACACAGTATCACATATAATCTTATAAATACTTTTGATATCTTTTATAGGCCCATGTACATTACTGTGAACTTAAGGTATTTGAGTACATTGAGGTTGTGCACTTATGCTATCACCACAGCTCGTATAAGTCCCACTGAGTGGCATATGAAATTTGTCCCGAAAGACCTATGTATTTTTCCCGAAGGACCGCATAGACCCTCGACTCTTGGCATGCCAATTATACCACCAGCTCTCATATCACATAACATGGGCATTATCATTTATAACATTTCATATCATTGCTCTTATGATCACATATTTCTTTTCTTCTGTCACATACCACATGTATGTGTAAACATCTATCTCATATCATATAACGTATTGCATATTCATATGTCACATAGTTCATATCACTTTGCATGTAATCACGTAGGTTGTTTCATGTGGCTTATATCCTTTCTCATTTGTCATGCACATATTTCATAACATGTTCACATATTCATATATACATCCCATAGCACATAAATACATAACATGCATATCACATAGTTGATATCATATTTTTCATATATTCATGTAGTTCAGTATCACACATATAATAACATATGACACCTATACCTATTTTCATGTACTCATGCACAGATAAGATCACATAACATTTTAGAAGTTATTTCTTACCATAATAACTCCGTCACTCCTCATCATCACAAGCCATGTTTTAATTGATAAAATAAGTACAATTAAATTACACTCACTTTAGCCTTGCTTTGATTCAATCCTAATTCTTTGATTGTTCTGAAACTTGTTTAGGCTCAATATCTACATAAACATAACTTCCGAGATGATTATCAGAAGCCTAAACCTTATAACTTGATGCTAATAACTTAAGCTAGTTTAATGAACCAAAATTTTATTTTTCCTTTAGGAGGTATCGATACCTCCCCCTAGGGTATCAGTACCCCTATTAAAATCTGTAATTTTTCGTTCAAGAGGGTATCGGTACCTATTGAATGGGTACCGATACTCTTTACCCAGAAATCACATTTTTAAGCCCGAAAAT